TTGATCATTTATAGGAATATGGTTCACAAAAAAAAGCGAGTAAATTTATAGTAGAGCACAAGTTTATGTTTGGCCTGTCTCAGAAAAATGTCGATGGTGATCTGAAAACAACTTAAACACATTCTAAAGTTTGGACATTATCAATGAATGATTTGAATAGCGTTTTGAGTAAAGCTTCTCAATGATTGGTTCCAATGACTTAAAGAGCGGCCGATTTTCGTTTATGATGATATTTTCGGCCACTCAAGCTATATGTTCATCAAATGCGTGCTCTCCATTGTGCCAAACATATGGACGCTCTCTGTCAAAAGGTACATTTAGAACCGATCGAACAGCTTCATAAACACGTCGATTGTTTTTCGAGAGTGGTGGACAAGTATCATAGTTTGTTTCTTTCTCGGTTAGATTGGCCCGTAAATCAAGTGCTTGAACACAAACAAGAAGATAAATACTCAAATGTTGATACCATGTAGAAATTGACTGACGAGCTAGGCATGTAGATATTTTATCCGTTGAATTGATATTTTTATTGAACTGCTCGGCGTATGTGGGGAATTTATCGGTTATAGATGTGCCAAAAAAAAAAGGAAGACTGGTATGATTGAATTACCACAAATCTAAAGAGTTTTGACACCTATGTTTACTTGACGAGCATGATTACCGATTAAACAAGCAGGCAGACCATTGCTGAACTCGGGTGTGACCAACTGGGCGACCTGCACATTCAAATGTTTCGCCATAAGACCGATAACTTGTCGTAGTCGATCCATAGCTAAGACCACATGCTCGCCAAGAAAACTACCATCACCTATGAATACCAATAAAAGCTTGCTTAAAAGGTGTCAATATAATGAACTGATTAAGTATTTAAATCTACTTGATTCTTAATAAAAATTATATGTACTGTTAATCAAAAGTTTGCTGAACTGATCCTATGAAGATTTGATTTTTAAATGAATTTAAAAAGAAAACGCCCAATTTTTACAAACAACGGAAATTTAGGGAAGCTAGCAAAAGCAGTCTGTTTACCAGCACAAGACAGAGGAATGAGGTCTTACTATACATAAAAGATATATACATCCCACTCATTCAAATCCAATGACACTCTTATTTATTTAACAGTATGTTTCGAATAAGTCATTACTATACCAACATCAACAGAATCATCATATCCTCTACTTTATCGACGGCGAGTCTTGCTGGTGTCGTGAGTTATCTATTATCATATATAGCTATATATCCCCTTTTTTGGATAGTAAGGCTTTAGAATTATTTATCATAGTAAAAAATTCTAAAGCCCTGTAACCACTTGGTCCTAGTCCTCCATTTCTATTTGAAATCGAGTGCTGGTTTTTTGTTCGTTAAATTCAGAATGAAATCAAACAGACCATTGCATGACTGAACTAGAGCAAATGCATCTCTTTGAGATACAATAAATATGAGTCAAGATGGAAACTTTGATAAAAATGAATGTCACTTCTATTTAGGATATGAATCAAAAAATTTGAAACAAGAAATAATTGTAAATGAATATTTACGTGCAATGTTTGACCAATGAAGAATTTTTTCTGATATACAGGAGATTTTGAAAGGCACTATGCAATATAATTTTTTAATATTTGCACTGTATATTATCAAACAAGCTCATTCTTTCCTAATGATAGAAGCACGTTTTGAATTTAATTCCACAGAAACAACTTAACAGATATTACTTTGAAGATCGAAAGAGCAATAGTGATACAGTACGAAGCCAGAGGATATTAAACAAAGTACATTTTTTTTATTATATACAAATATTCGAATAAATTTACGTATGATCAAACTACTTTAGGGTGAATTAAGACTCCAAATATTCCCAAGTGATATTCAAAACTAAATCTTTCAGATGCATCAAACAAAATATAATATATATAATATAAAAACGAGTAAAAACTGTAGAAATAAGACAAACAGAAAGAACGAAACAAGCAGAAGCTATTGTCATTCTTATTTTTCTTATTACTCAGCCGATGTATATGAAACAGAGAGCATGTAACCAAAGGTGTTAAAGAACATTTTTCAAAAAAATGATTCATTTTCTGGACAACCAGTAGAAAAACAACATTGAATTTCATAAACATTTTATCTGAAAGAAACCTTTTCAGATAGTGACTAGACTACGGTTTCGCCACAACAAAGATAACTTGCTCGATTATGTATGTTCATTTTTGAAGAATCATCACGCTGTGCGTAGCATGTTTTAACCAGAGTTCTATGAAATATGAAATAATCCCATCGATAAATAAACAAGTTTAACTTGGTTTTGTTTGTTAACTGCTGAGCCAAATTGCCACTTCAAAAGCAGTAGGAAGATTCTTAGAAAACATATCACGATTACATTAAGTTTATCTGAAGTGTTACAAACTTTCAGAAGTAGTAGAATTAGATTTTCTGACGCTAAAACGGACCATCAAAATTCTCTAAAATGATAGAAGACTATGACTATCATGACAGATACTAATCAGTTCGATGAACTTTTCCTTAAGCGAAAGCGTTTTTCTCCAACATTTCGTTTGGATTGAAAAGTTCACCAGAAAATCGGATTTTTATGACGCTTTGGGAGCATGATTTCTTTGACGAGGTATATGATTTGATTATCAATATTGTATGCATTACAATTATCTTCTAACATTCTATCCAACAAATTACCTATAAAGGTTCTTTTTCAAACTACCTCATTTTGGGTTTTTCATAATACATTAATTGTTGCGGAATAGTATTTATGTACTACAGTCAACCAATACGAGATCTATTCATTGCTAAATGTTTTGCTTTCCAAAAGAGATGAAATACAAAATAGAAAAATATACAGAAGTGATTCAGTAACGTTTAATTTCATGATTATCTGATGAACATATGATAAATAAATGATTTTGAGACAATTAAGAAGGAGCTTAAAATGCATACTATTCTGGGTTATTACATGTAGATCTACTCTTAAAGGTTTACAATTTTGCAGAAGGGTGAATGATTTTAGTTTTGATCAACATAATATGTTCTATCGATTGCCAGATTGCATTTAAGGTATTTTACTGAAGTGTGTTTTATTTTTACGCACAAGTTGGATCTTTTTTGGCAAAAATTACACAGATTGGTAGAAAGCCTTTCAGATTACTAGTGCTATATTGAGAGTATCAAACAAGAATCGATGAAAAATATTTGTACCATATTTACTATTAAGCCAATTTTTCTAGGTTGAAGTACACTCTGGTGTTTCTTTTCATATGATCATCGATGAATTAGAGAAAGAAAAGTTCATCGAATCTCTCAAATCGTATCAAATAGACAGCATTTTGTTGTTTTGTAAAATATTTTGAACACTTATAAACAAATCTGATTTACCTTTCTCCATCATATAATCCAATCGAGAGACTTCAATCAAAAAGTACTTGATATAAATCAGTAAAAAGTCAGATTTAACTTTAAACAGAATCATCCAACTCAATTGAATTGACAAAAATCATTATTAACTACGTTGTTTTCTATATTTTTCAAGGAAAAAAAAACATCATGGTTCGGTTGTTTTTCTCTAGCCCAGCTTAGTTAGATCATGTAGCAAGCGCTAATCATTCTGCACCATTTTTTTGACAATTTAATGAACGTTGCACTACGTTAGTCCAGACATGCGACTGAAGAAGTAACAACAAATCATTGCTTCTTTTTTGCCTGGCCATTCTTTTATGCTTCATTGCTTTTTTTTTCGCTCACATCAGCAAGATCTTCGTGAATCAGAGCCTCTGATTCACGAAGAGCTTGCCACAGTATATTACGTCTATAGAATCACCATGCTATTATATTGACTGTCGTAAAAAAGAACGAATCTTACGGATGAATATCACACACATCTAACGATAATGAAATAAGTTCAGTAAAAACTAAATTTTAGTAGTTTTACAATAAATAAACATCGAAAAAAGATGAAAAATGATCATAGTGCTAACAAGTATTTTTTATTCTCTCAAATAAAGTTTAAGTATCGATTTTTGTTCGATTCTGTTACAGAGGGTAATGTGGTGTGTAATTATTCACCATTTATATTGGTTCTTATTTCTTTTTTTTAAACATCTTTTCATTACTTTATTATTATCGAGTTATCTACATATAGTATAGCAACAATCTCGAGTAATGGACTGTACATTGACATTTAGAACTGTACACAAGTCCTAACTGGGTCGCGTTCACTTTGCCAACAAAATTTGTCCATATCTTAGCCTACTAAATCTAGTAGTTTCCAGAGTACACCACGTAGAGATGTATGGACTAGTACCCCGTGTACAAAGGACAAACATATAAATAGACAATGACAACAAATACAAATAATTACGACACAATATCTAATCTTTTTTTGGTTTTTTTTTATAAATTTTCTCCTTTTTTGGAGTTTATTAAAATTTTTAAAAAAATTACAAAAATTTTAAAATGAATGATTATGGGCAATGTTTCGAAGAAAATCGATAGTTGATCGATTAGGGTTTAGGGTATGAGTGTAGGTGTGAGTCTTAGTGTGGATTTTCTCTTTACCTTCATCCACACCCACACCCGCACCCGCAACTTATCAAGAAACTTTTGGAAAAAAAACCGTGCCGTTAAAAATCTTCCGACGCAATATTTTCAACAAATTTCAATTTCTTTTTGACTTTAAAGTCTTGTGGGCAAAGTGAATCGAACCCCAAATTTGTCGATGATTGGCATTTTGAAATACTCTGACCAATAATTACAGGTTTAGATGAATACAGATTTATTTCTTTACTAATACTATTACTGTTATGAAATAATCATTCTTGAATTTAGTGTTCCTCTATGAACATATGGAAATATAACAGATAGATATATTTATAGTATGTTTAATTTTATATTAATTAGGTTATGGTACCTTTTCTAGTTTTTATTCGACAATATTGAATAAAATAAAATTTTATTTACTTTTGTGAAAATTTTGAAAAACAAACCAATAAGAACCATTAAGATTTAACAATAGTAATTTCAATAAGTCTTAGTCTATTAAAATTTTGTTCTGTCCATTGAACTTTAATAGAATTGTTAGATTGATTACTTTTACTGAGTAAAATTTGTTTATTTTGTTGCAAATTCATTTGTATATTGTCATTAGTAGTATCGATAATGAAATGACCTTTAATGTAAATATAGACGTGTTTAATTTGTTCAATGATTAACCACCAGTGAGAAATAAGAATGTCAAGAAATGTTTCAGGCAAAATATGTTTATGATAATTAAAATAAAAATACTTTAGAACAGGCATTGTCATGTGTAAATATTTAAAACAATCCGATGAGAAATAACCACTCTCTAATTTAAGTTTTAGAATTTGAAGTTTTGGAAGTGTACATAATTGTTTATCAAATATTGATACTTGATGAAAACTAAAATAAGAACCAGAAATTTCAAGTCGTTTTAATTTTGGCGTATGAATTAAAAATAGATTGATGAGCGAATAATTTGCATTACCAAGATCGATAAGAAAAAGGTGTTTGATATTACTATTTACATCGAAACGATAATTAATTATTGTTGTTGATGGTCGAAGTGTTAACCGGCATATACGTAATGTTGGAATAGTTAATATTGCTTTGAATAAGATTTCATTCGGTATACAAGTCAAAGACAAATATTCAAGAACATTAAGCTGTTTTAAAGCTTGACAAATAAATGGTATATATGATGTATCTCGTAAACCTATTCTAATCGATAAACTTTGTAAACGAATTAGTTTATTAACATGCCAATAAAGAAATTCAAAGAAATAATTAGATCGAGATCGTACGGAAGATCGAAGATGTGTTATACGATTGAGTACAGAATCAAACCAATAGAGACTAGTTGAATATTGAAGATAATTATTGTCAGTTTCGTGTAAACGAACATAGAACGATAGATAATTAGAAGCAAGTATTTGATTAAAATGATAATTTAAATTATGAAATGCATGAAAAAGATCATGTGCTTCCAAATATTGAAAAACGATAAGCCATATTTCGATGGGTAATTGTTCTGCACAAGTTTGCATTTTCTTCTGTTTCTTTCACAACTGTGAAGCGATTGTGCAATATTTAAATAGTATTCGAATTAGACAACCTTTCGCCAATAGTCGTCTGAAAAGTGGGCATATAGATAGAGGGAGCTCAGTCTTTGATTCCATATTATATGAAAGACAATAAGACTTATTGCTCAATTTAAACATCATTATATAGTACAAGTTTTTCTTTAGTAAAAACATGTTAATAATTGTACAGTAAAGCCTTTCTATTATGAACACTGTCTCAACCATTTAAAATCGTTCACTGTACAAAGATGTTCAATTTAGAGAGTTGATGCATAGTTCACTGAGAAATGAAGAAAAGATTTCGAAATATATTTTTCTTTTTCTTCATTAATCTTAGATAAAAGTCTGGCTATTTATTCTGTTGTTCTTCTGAAGGATTAAAACAGAAAAATTTTTTCAAAAATAATAAAAAACAATTTTTCTTAAAAAAACACATCCTCTAAGATTGTTTCTCTTTTAGCTTTTCAATTAATATAAAAACATCAGTTAATCCTAATTTTAATTTATTAATTAATGGATATTATTTTCGTTGGTTGTTGTTGCTAATATATGAGCTTTTCGTATCATTTTCATTACCTCCGTTATTTTTGATGATTATTCTGTTGACATACAATCATCATTAGCGTCAACATCTTATTCATTAATATCCAGTGTTAGTATATGTTCACATTTATCGAACTATTCATTTAATGTAGGTGTATCTTAAATCTATATCAATAACTTTCACATACAACATGTACTTACTCGTTGCACATAAGAAACAGATAAATTGACAGTAGAAAGAGGTCAAAAATTGTTGCGCATGTGTTTACTTTAAAGAGGTGATAATAGCAAGAAGAACCTCAGAAAAATGTTCATTGTTTAGAATACGAAGATGTGCGCATTAGAGAGAGAGACATTTCTAGCAAAAACCACTCCGTCGGACATGAGGCCATTCTTCATTAGAAGGTATTCACTAGTAGAGATTTTATTGCATTAATATAACTATGTTGCTAGAATATGAGAAGCTAATTGAGCGAAAATCTCAATATTTTCTGATTGTATCATACATCAACAGATTATTCAATTATTAATAATATAATAGACCACATTTATTGTACTTGACATGTTCAGTTTTCTTTTTCTATATGGAAATTAGTGTAGAATTTATTGTTAGAAGAATAAAACTAAAACGAGATTTAATTGATCAACAAGAGAATGAAATATTATTGTTAACACGAATGTTCGTATGTCAACAGAAAGTTGATTGAAAGATTTCTGCTAAAGTTAGTCGAATTTTGAGAAAAAGTTGAATATTTTTTAGGTGAATTGTAGAATAAAAAAAAACAATAAAACACTGGAGAAAAACGAACATTTTTCAAGAATGGGAGAATCACGTCCTGCTCTAGACACTTTGATTCTTAGTATAATATGATCATTCACAGATTTTATAGCTTTTTAACAGATTTCTAATAGAATTATGTTGTGTAAAAATTCTTTTCATTATGCCTGTACTGAACCCGAACGTTTCGGTTCAGTCTTGAATGTAGCCATGCTCAGTTAATTAATAAAATTAGGAAACAGAAGTAAACCAAAAGAAAGTCTTTCATGGTTGGTTATAATAGATAGAGGTACAACAAATCTCTAGCAGATTTGAGATTTGAATTTGGAATTTGGTTTCGATCTAACATGACTTCAACTTTTGAGTTATGATAGAATGAAACCAAATCCAAACTATTTCATATCAACTTCGAAGACTTTCGATTCTTTTCATTCTTCTGGTACTTTATTTTACAGAGCTTCATCAGATTTGGGTAATTTAAGATTAAATCCAAATCTAAACTAAACTCAAATTTTCTTTACGCCTGCCGGGTGAATTTTCGAATTCATACAGGGGCTCACTGTTGTTTACAACAGTGAGAAGGCGAACCTGGGCTGCCGGTAGCCGATCGTCGGATTTTCGTGCTAGCAACTCGTAAATCAGACACTAAACCCATTTTGCTAACGAAAAGAACAAAAATCGGTGCGCGAACGCACAACATCACGTATTTTTTGGTGGATGGAATGTAAGATCGTGTGTTAAACAATCAAAAAAAGAACTTATAATAAAGCAACTGAAAAAATATCGCATACAAGTAGCTGCTCTTAGTGAAACATGCATATATGACTGTGGAGTGACGTTAATCAATGAATATACAATGATTTATTCTGGTTTATCATCCGATAATAAAACAAGAAATGCCCATGGCGTGGCTATATGTCTCAATGAAACGGCCACAAAAGTATGGAAAGACTCAGGTTCAGAATGGGAATCGATCAGCGAGAGAATTCTGAAGATTAGACTGCAGTGTTCACCAATTAACATAACTATCATTGCTGTTTATTCTCCTGTCAATTCAACGAATAAACAAATGGCTGATGCAAGTGAGAAATTCTATATCGATCTACAAGATACAGTGAATAGAGTCTCAACAGGTGACATGCTTATTATAATGGGTGACTGGAATGCTAGAGTGTGTGATAAAAAACAGTATACGCTCAGTAATAGCATCGGTCCTTTTACAGTTGATACTACGAATGATAATGGAGCAAGACTTATAGATTTATGTACAATTAATGATCTCATCGTTTCAAACACCTTTTTTCAACACAGACTAGTGCACCAAACTTCGTGGATGCACCCATGTACAAAAGTTTGGCACATGATCAATTATACACTAGTAAACAAAAAGTTTAGAACAAGTGTTGAAGACGTTCGTATGTACAGAAGAGCCGCTGGTGCTATTGGAACCGATCACAATCTAATGAGAGTCAAGATTAGACTGCATTTGAAATCTAGAAAGAAGCTAATTCTTCAAAAGAAAATGAAATACGATCTTAGCAAATTCAAAAATGAACAAGGAATAAAATCATTTCAAAATGATATTCGTGTAACTTTAAATGATGCAACGGATAAATCGATGAACATCGATGAAAAATACTCATTATTTGTCGAATAATTGAAAGAAAACGTAGAGAAACATTTCAAATTAGATAAGAACACCAATAGGAAACGGAAGAAATGGATCACAGATGAGATCTTACAAATTATAGACCAGAAATCTTTAGCTTTCGTGAACTGGCACAATCATCGTGGAACACCGTTGGAAACAAAATATCGAAATAAGTACAAACGGTTACGGAAATTAACTACGATAAAAATTGATGCGCGCCAGTTTGAATATTGGGATGAAATATGTGAAGAAATAGAAAACTCTATCAAGTTGAATGATCCAGCTAATGCATTCTCGATTATTAGACGTCTTCGCGGAGGAAGCAAACGAGCAGAGAACATGCCAATCAAAGACAAGCATGGTAAATTACTTTTAAATGCAATTGATCGTTTAGAACGGTGGCGTGAGTATTTTAATGAGTTATTTAATGTGCCTTCGATCGCGATATTATTGACGAAATTCAAATAGACAAAATACCGAAGAAAGAAGAAGAGCGACAGAATGCTGATCCATCTATAGAAGAGGTTAGAAGAGCACTGAATCAAATGAAATCAAGCAAAGTGCCTGGAAGCGACGAAATTACAGCTGATATCCTTAAAGTTGGAGGTGAACCAGTTATTCGATGGCTATATGAACTATTCATCGATGTATCGAAAAACGAAGAAATGATGAAAGATTGGAACCTGGCCATCTTAGTCAGACTATACAAGAATAAAGATGAAAAACAGATGTGTGATAACTATCGTGGAATTTTCTTACTCAATGTCACAAGCAAAATATTTTCCCGCATAATTATAAATCGTATTCAATGTCTGATCGATCATCAGTTATTAGAAGTCCGGTCTGGTTTCCGCTCACAAAGATCAACGATAGATCAAATCTTCACATTGAAAATGACTATGGAAAAGCGTAGGGAGTTTAATAAACCGTTATATATGTGCTTTGTTGACATAACTAAAGCCTACGATTCTGTCAATCGTGATCTACTGTGGAAAATCTGTCAAAAATACGGTATTTCAGAGAAACTTGTTAATCTATTGAAAAATGTTACACAAGAATTCACAAGCAAAAGTGAGAATAGAAGGTGAATTATCGAATAGTTTCTTAATTGAAACTGGTGTACTACAAGGTGGAATAGTATCTCCAATTCTATTCAACATTCTTTTCGATTTTATCATCAGAAACGTCATGGAAATGGCTGGTATTCATGGAATTAAATTCTATTACGGTAGCAACGACTTTTATCATGGCAAACAAGAAAAGTGTGAGAAGTTTAATATTTTGACCTTGCTATATGCAGATGATTTGGTCGCCATGTGTGAAACAGAGGATGATATAAAGATCTTTATTAAAACTTTTGAAAAAGTCACACAACAATATGGCTTAACTATGAGCGTCAAGAAAACGTGCATCATGACTCTACAACAATTTGAAGAAGATCGAAACCGAAAAATATTGAAGAATCAAGAAGTGATCTACCCAAATATTAATATCACAATCCGTAATCAGAAGATCGAAACTGTTGACTCTTTTACGTATCTTGGCTGCAATATCTCAAGAGATCAAAAGCCGGATGTAGAGATCAATACAAGATTAGCCAAAGCTTCTACAGCCTTCAAAATGTTGAGGCATGTCATATGGGCTAGGAAAACTGTGTCCATTGGAGCAAAATTACGTATTTTTCGAGCCTGCGTGCTTCCAGTTCTATTGTATGGAAGTGAAACTTGGTCCATCACGTCGTCGCACGAACGTAGAATCGTTAGTTTCTATATGAAATGTCTACGAATGATTATCGGTGTTAATCTGGGTGACAGAATGTCTAATGAAAAGCTACTAGAAATAACTGGTCAACCACCCATTGAAAACATACATCTTACGTCGAAATAGACTGAGATGACTTGGTCATGCGAATAGGATGATGAACAATGATCATGAACCATCAATTGTTAAAAAGATAACATTTTCATATTTTCCCGGAGAAAAACGACCTCG